TGTGTGTGTGTGTGTGTGTGTGTGTGTGTGTGTGTGTGTGTGTGTCTGGGGGGGGGTTAACTGGCAGCTGGCTTAGAACAGGGTTTGTTTCCAAGATCCAGTTCCCTCAAAAGTTTGATTTGTCACACCCAATGGTTTTCTGCTCCACTGAAAGGAATATTAAGCTTGCTGAAGGGTTTTTGCAATTTATTTTTATATTTCTTCTTGGCACTATTATTTTTCTGTTTTGTTTTAAAAGATGAAAAAATCTCATTTTTTCCTTTGCTCAAATGTGGGGAGCAGCCACCTCCTAGTCTTCTGCTTAACATTTATTTCCATTCTTCATTCTTATCAAACTTTTGCATTGACCCTGAACAAGTGAAACCTCTTAGACCCAAAGAGGTTAAAGAGCCCTGTCAGGGTCACAGGTCTAGGAAGCAGAGAACATGCTATGAGCCCAGCTATTCTGAGTAAAATGTGGTTCATTTATTAGCTCAGGCTTCTATTAGAAACCATCCAAAGGAGAATAAAATTCCACCATCCACTTACCAGCATTTGTACTGATTTTTGTGACTGGGTTGATGGTTTATATTCTGATTCCTAGTTCAACTAGTAAGATTTAGCTATTTTAGCAAAGATACTGACCTTAATGCTTCATGGATTCCTGAATTGAAAGAAAATTCATTAAATTTTTAACTCAGAACTTCCCAACAAATACAGTATCATGTACTGCCAGTGAGTTTGTCAGAGTGCTATGAGATAATTAATGGTTATAAATTAAAAGACAAAAAGAAAGGTTTTTGTATGAAAGCTCCAGAGTAAACTCAATTTTTAATATTCTAATATGATTGTTACATTTTAAATTTATGAAATAAAGGAAATATATTTTTCCACCAAGCTCTAAATCACCAAGCTTTCCATTTCTCCACTGATATATCACATTATCACATTTACAAATGTACCTACAAGTGGGCTCTGATAAAAAAAAAAAAAGAAAGGTTGAAAAAGGGTGGTCTGATTTATACTATGCGGAGGATTAAGACAGAGACTACAGATAATCTTAGAAAAGCCATGTAACCATAAAGGAGCTAAATCCTGGTATGGTGATATATAAAGGTTACCAAAGTATGTGCACTGAATAGGCATCTCAATGATTCACTCACTTAACAAATACCTATTATGTGTCCTGTTCCAGGGATACAGTGGTAGAAAATGAAGCCCCTGCTCTCATAGAGCTCCCACTCTCCAGGGACGCAGAAACAACAAAATAAAAATCAATAAACAAGAAAGAAAAGGAAATGGATGTAATTTCAAGTGATATGAAGAACAAGCAATGTAGAGGGTAGAGAACAGAGAACAGAAATGCTCTTTAGAGAAGAAGGTCTGAAAAGACCTCTGTGGGTCATAAAATCTAAACACAGGCCTGCTGAAGTAAGGAAGATACTCAGACGGGAGTGTGGGGAAAGCATGTTCCAGAAAGAGGGACTCACCAGGGGGAGGGCAGAGGCTGTCAGCTTAGCACAAAGGAAGAAAAGGGCAGGGAACAGGAACGCAGAGGGGCTGCTCTGCATGCCTGGTGGGGGGTTGAGCAGGGCCCTGGCAGTGTTTTAATTTGCTATGTCTTAAAAAAATAAACTCCTGATAGACCTTCTTTAGGCAGCCACTTAATTATTTTGATAGAAAATTATGAGTTTGGGCACAGTTTTCTACTACTCCTACACCCCATGCCTCAGAATGGCAGTTCAAAGCCCGTGGGACCATTCTCCATTTATGTCTCCACACATGGCTTTTCAGAAGGCAATTTAAGTGAATGGTGATTTTTTTTTTTCCTTTGCTAACTTTAGAAGTTGCCAGCTGATGGACTCAGACACATACATTTCACTCTTAAATACACATTTAAAATTCATATAACCATTAGGGTTCTTGGACCTTTGTTTGCACTTAACTAAATTTAAACCAATAAGCAGACTTTAAGACTCCTGGGATGAAATCTTAAATAAATCTGTTACAGAGGAGAACCAATTTACTTTTATAGTAGTTTAGTTAACATGTTTTGAACTCTTTTAAAAAGCATGGGTCTTGGCAACAACCCTAAGAAGCAAGGGTATTTTTATTTTGTAGGTGAGAAGATAAAGGTATAAAATTTACTTAAAATTTTAAAAATCCAGAGGATTAGGAATTCCACAGGAAAAATATATACCCACCCAGCCCCCACCCCCAAAGAGAAATGTAGATACCATCAAGTATCCCTTACCTAAAATGCTAGGACCAGAAGAAGTGTTTTAGATTTCAGAATTTGGGGGATTTTTTGAATATTTACATGAACATTACCAGGTGAGTATCTCTAATCCAAAAATTCAAAATCTAAAATGCTCCAATTTGGACTGTTACATTAGGAATGTTTAACCTGTGATTGCCCAATATTTTTCTTTTTAGAAAAGAATAAATAATTTTTGACATTTGAAGGGGATTCTCTCAAGAAATGTGAGGAATAACCTTCTTTTGCAAATCTTTGAAAACAGATTTCCTAAGATAATTCAAATGTAATCATGTCTAAAGTTACAGGGATGACTATCATAACCCCTCTAGGTCTCATTTAATTGTATGTTGCACATTCACACAGATACAAACATTTGTGAAGTGCATTCTCTCAAATATATTTTTCTTCACCTTTTATATCACTCTTAGAAACTCTAGGAGTAAAAGGCATAGCTTCTGAAATGTAAGCCTTTGAATGATTCAAATTTTCCTAATGTGAAATACTTAAAAAATTATCTTAAAACAGAAAATTTAAAACTACAACAACAAAAATTGTCTAAAATAGTTACTCCTTTGAGTGAGTCTTTAATTCCTTGTTATTGAGAGCATGTGAAAATGTGGTCAAGACATAAGGAACTGTGGGTAATCAAAGGGAGAAGATAAACAGTACCACAGGGGAATTCTTTAAGTGAATCCATCTGTTTTGTGCTACAAAACTCTCTTAGTTTAATTGAACAAGAAAGGAACCCGCCTGTCTGATAAATCCATGCCTCTTTTCCATGCCTACAGGAAACGACCAGTCCTAATATTTTTCCAAAACACAAAATGTAACTAAAGAATTGTTTCCTTTATTTCAAAATTTTGTAGGAAAAACTTGGTCTTCTCTACAGGTATAGAGATATCTGCACTCAATAAAACAGGCCAAACTTGAAAGATAACAGCAACTATGGATTAGAGGAATTTGAAAAGCAGAATGACAGAATGACGTCATGGTAGCTTCCCATTGTCAGTGATTTACAGAAGAGGAGCAAGATTGAAAATGCAAATTACATTTAAATCTCCTGCTTTATGCTTTAATCAAAGGACTCCTCTGTGATTTCATCCATTTATTTTATATTAGTGACTGCATAATAATTTCTTGTGTTTCAGCTACTTAAAATTAACATTGATTGACTGAGCTAGAGGACACATTGTTTACTTGATTTGTGCAAAGAACAGATTCATTAAGCCCTTCTGAAAACAGGTCATTTATCTTTTAGCTTGCTTGTGTTTTACTTCATGCTTGCTTTCCCTCCCCACCTCATTGCCCGTTGCTCTAACACTTCCTCCTCAAACTCTCTTCACACATCATTGAATTACATTTGCTTATACTCTTTGCCCCATGAGGGGCTTTCCCCAGCCTCTTTCCACATCGTTCATTGAAAACCAGGTGACATCCTAGTAAACCACATCAAACACAGGACGCCTCCTGACCACCCTCAACCCAGGCATGCTGTTCATGCTAGGACACAGGGGTTTTAAATCAGAAGCACCCACCTGACCCGGGAAAATTGCAACCTAATTCCAGCACTGATTCTTGATAGATGTTTTTCTACCTTTTGGCAGACTTTCAGGGATTTTTTAAAAATTGAATTCAGTGCACATGGGATGCAAGGTTATTTGATAA